TCACCTTAGACTTCAATTTCAATTTCTTGTTCTCAATTAATAAATTGCTGTTGGGTTAGAAAATATTTTGTCTATTACAGGTACATGACTTGCCCAAGGCCATGTAGTCAATCAAAAGAAAGGAGACAGAATCAGCATATTCTGATTCCTAAACCCATGAGTTTACCTTTTATAGTTAGTCAACAAACTGTATTATAAAGATTTTTGGTACTTTTATTTATCAATATACCTGAAGTTTCTCACAATTTTAGTTAGGAAACATATCCACACTGAGCTGTTAAATTGTGCTGCAAACTCCTATGCCTTCCATCCATGACATGCTACAAATCTGGTCTCTGTCCTATTGCTTCATTCCCATCCCCTTTTAGATTGTATTCTCCAACTGCATCAAACAGTTCATAGTTCCCAGAACATGACAAACTGTTTCAGCTGCTTTCTTTCTGCCAATGCTGAGGAAATAGCTAAATGGACACTTTTCTTTTTTTTAAAATAAATTTTATTTAGTTACTTTTCAAGTACATTTTTTTATCTATTTCTCCCACCCCACCCCCCCCTGCCCCGTCTTCCCCCTCCCTCCCATCCCTCATCCCTGTGTCTTTCATACTTGTTCCTCAAAATCTCAAAATCCCTCCCCCTTTTTCCCCTTAAATTCCCTTCCCTCTCCCCTCTGGTCGCTGCCCACTTGTTCTCTATTACAGTGTCTTTGTTTTTATTCTGTTTGCTTGTTTGTTTTATTCTTTAGCTTCCTGTCAAAGGTGAGATCATATGGTATTTGTCCTTCAATGCCTGGCCTATTTCACTCAGCATAATGCTTTCCAGTTCCTAAATAGACACTTTTCTAGTGAATCCTTTTTTACATTAATAAACCAACAAATTCCTAAACACCAAATCTCTCAGGACTACCCACAGCTCAGTCTAACTGAAATGACCACAGTATCCTTGGGGCCCCTAAGTGCCCTGATTAAGTGTCTATCTTAACAACCAATTAATACCTTTATTGGCTTTCTAACCTATCTTTACTGTTAGAACAAAGAGCACTCAGAAGCAGAGTATTCCAAATACCAACACCAATGGGCTTATATAAATAAAATACAACAAAAAAAAAATTTAACCAGTTTGGCCAACCATCATCCCCAAATACAATACAGAAGGTAAAAACAGAAAACCCAGAGTAGAAATCAGACTTAATCCATTAAAATTTTAATCTTAACTGCAATTATTTTGGATGTACTGCTTGAAATGCAAACATCTTTCACTGTAAATAAATAATTTATAATTGGTTTGCATCCCAGTATGGTTCAAAAAAGTTTAAAGGTAACACACTCACAAAAAAAGGAAATAAAACAGCCTTTTCTTTAAATATATGAAAAGATGTCCAATTTCATTCAAAACACTTTGAAATGCAATTAAAACTACACCAGTATACTTTTTTCCAGATTCAATCAAAAAAGCTGAAAACAGCTCTGGCTGGTGCAGCTCCGTTGTGGACTGAGTGCGGGCCTGTGAACCAAGGGGTCACCGATTTGATTCCCTGTCAGGGCACATGCCTGGGTTGCAGGCCAGATACCCAGTTGGGGGCGCATGTGAGGCAACCACGCATTGATGTTTCTCTCCCTGTGGTTCTTCATCCCTTCCCCTTTCTTTAAAAATAAATAAATAAAATCTTAAATTAAAAAAAAAGGTTGATAACTTTGTACTGATTAAAGTGTGAGAGCATCTCTCATACATTACTGGTTGCTGTAAAATGTTCTATTGACTGATACAGCTTTTCCTCTAAGAAGGCAATTTGACAATGACTATTAAAAGTTAGAATAGCTCATCAATTCTTTCAGAAATTTATCCTGTAAAATCTGTACGTTAATCCTTACAGTACCATTTACATTAGAAAAAGATTGTAAACAAAGTACCCATCAACCTAAGAATGGGAAAAAAACTATGATACATTCATGTACTGCAAAACTATGTCGTCTAGCAAGGAAGACTTAGGGTATAGCTGCACATAAGCTAAATATAGTATACACACGCACTTCAATTTATCCTGTGTTTTCTTAGTGCAAAAGAAAAGTTTCACTAAATATCAAATTTGATTAAGTACACAGAAGATATTCACCATAGAATTAGATATTATAAATAAATGCAAGACTTTTTACAAGTTTTCTCACTAATGTGAAACAATAAATTTTACTTATTTATGACAATAAACTCCGAAGAAGCAAATTAAAACTTTACTTAGTTAATTCATATCTTATAACTCTGATCTTACTATTGCACAAGACAAAAAAATTTATACTGCTACTACAGGTTTTTTCAAAAAGCACTAGTAAAATTCCACTGATTAGTAAACTAAATACGGGTCCAAAAATAAAGTCACTAAGCTATTTTGCATCAACTCAGTAAATAACAGAGTAAGGCATTCTTGCTTCATATTTATGAATAGGAATTTTTGCTAACAATATGAGATAAAGTAAGTCCTAGAGAGGAGAACAACTCCTAATTTTATACACTTCACAAATATGCCTAAGAGGACTTCATTACATGTACTTATTACATGCAAATCAAATTTTAATTAATCAGTCCATATTTTAAAAGGATGAAGGTGGCTCACTATTCAAAAGAAATTTTCTTGATTCTTTTCTGAATTTAAGTAATTTCATAATTTCAGATTTTTATCTTTGTTCTCCTAGTGAAAAAAACCCATGCCATCAACTTGTTCATTAAAAAAGAGGCCATTTTACACATTAGCATTATTATACTTCAACTCTTACCTTTCAATTAATATTCTTGCTTTCATCTATGCAAATGACAATGATTTTTTAAAAATTTATGCCACCATACTTCTTCCCATTACTGCGTTAGGTTCTTGCCAAAAAGGACTGTCCTACTGCACAGTTCAGGTACATTTTACAGGTGAAAATGAGCCACGTGAGCCTCTAATACATCACAGTGCATACTGTAACAAACTGGAGTTACAACAGGCTTTGGTGTATTTTGAGATTTTAAGGCAAACAGACTACCTAAGTAGTTACAGCAATAACATTCACTCCAAATACCACCTCTTAATTCAAGTTAATTTACAAAATAATCTTCAGATATTCTCTTAGGAAAAACATAATTCAATAAACAAAATCTCAACTACATAGCATGCCTGATAATAAGAGGGCTCCTCTTCACCTTGGACATGCTGTGTATTTTCAGAATAACTTCATTAATATATAAAGGTCCGATGAATCAACAACCATCAACAGACTGCTAATACAGTTGTGAGCTGAAATGCATCACTTGTTGTCCTATAAAAGCAACAAGTGAAAAATCATAGGTGGCTATTATTAAATTTTAAAAATACTTCAGATATTATCTGGTCCAGTGGTTCTCAGACATGGTTGCACATTAAAATCACTTCTAGGGATGTAAAAAAATATACTGATGTCAATCAGAACTGGGTGAAAGGGCTGCATCAGTAGCAGTTCGGGGTTTTGGGGTTTTTTTTTCCTCTTTATTTATTTGTTTGCTTTTAAGTCCTCAGTCATTGTAACATGTAGCCAGGAATGAGAATTATCAATATCTCAGATTATATATAATCCCAAAGGTGTTCTCCACACCATTATGATGAGTTCTCTCATTCAAATGTTTCCATATATATAGTGGAATTTAGTTGATTTTTAAGTAAAGACATACTGGAGCATTTACACAGGGTAGAATTTACAATTTAAGCACACAGCCATTCATAGACCCTGGTGAAGACTTCTTTGAAGTGCTGACAAACTATACTTCTAAAAAAGGAGGGGGCCGATCACCCAATAGCTGATGTCTTTTCATAGTCGTAATGCAATAGTGAAAAGCAAACTTTAAGCCGATCATCCCTGGCTCCGTCACAGTGTTAACCTAAACCTTAGTTTCCTTACCTGTAAAACGGGAATTAACTTCTACCTCATCAGCAGATATTAACGAGTTAAAATACCTGACTTAGTGCCTGATAATAACGGCTTGATTTAATAATAAGGTAATTAATGCCTGTTGAGTTTATCTAAAAGCAGAACGGCTGGGGAAGAACAGCCCAAGTCACTCTCACAGACCTCTAACCTCCTTTTCACACATGTCCAGTCGAGGACAGGATGGCAAGGCTTACAGAGCCTAGGGGCCCAGAGGCCGCGCATCCTGGCTCAGGAATCCAGGGCCGCGGCGCTGCAGCCAGATCTCTGGGATGAACCGAAGGGAGGCCAATGGTGGAAAACACAGCACGCAAGGTCCCTCACCTTCACCACGGCCGCACCCCGGCTGCCCTGACGGCCACTGTCCAGCCCCGTTCCAGGCTTGCTCACAACCAGGGCAGCCATCCTAGAAGGAGCGGCGCCGCAGCAGGAGCTGAGGGACTTCAACGGAGGGGCGGGGTAGGTAGAGCCTCCTACCCAGGGGCCTCGGCTCCCGCCACTGGCGCACAGGCGCAATACAACGCTGTGGTGGTGAGGGCTGTTCTGCGGACTTCCTCGTTCGCGAGGAACGGTTACTACCTGTTCGGCTGTGCAGCGTTGCACATGGTGCTCTGCTATTTTTATTGTTATCAAGGAGTCTGCAACTGATGGAAAGAATAAAGTTAAGGGAAAAGATAAGCTACAACGTAAATAAAGTTTGCGGATGAAACGCGCTCCCATAAAGAGAGATCGTTCCCTTTCGAAAGGAGGGACTACATCTCCCTGCATGCAACGCGGATTTTTGTATAAACTACAGGTCCCAAGTATCCCAGGATACGTGTGGCGCGAGTATCTCCTGCTCCCTGGCGTTACAATTTCAGAGTCCCAGAATTCGTGGCCGTCGGTCGCGCTGTGTGATTGCGGTTGGGAAGCTGAGTGTTTTATGTGGTGGCCTTGGTAAAAAGAAGATATTGGGTCCGTAAAGGACGTGGTAAGAAGAGAATTTTAAGATACCACCGGAAGGGAGAAATAATGGAGTGTGTTTGACAGTTCGTCTCTCCTAAAGTGCGCTTTATTTGTTGGATTGAACCTGTTCAGACTCCGTAGGCATTCGGTCTGAAGTGCTGGTCAAAATGGAAGTGAATCCCCCCAAGCAGGAGCACCTACTGGCCCTGAAAGGTAAACTTTTGCGACCCTGACTCCCTTTAATCTGTTTTCTCCCCTTCTGTTTCTAGTTCTCCAAGCCTTTGCCGTGCAGACTTGTTCTCTGCGATGTAGGCCTCGCCTTTCTTGCATTCTCATTGGTGGGCCTGCTGCTCAGTCCCTTGGCGCCGAGCGGCAGGAAGCATTTTCGATTTTTTGATTTTTTAGGTTTGAGACCTTTTCTCTAGAACGGATTAGATAGATACCTGGTAAATCACTCACTCAGTTATATGGTGCCTCTGCAGTCACCAGGCCCATTTTAGCCGCAGAAGGTGACGTCTCCACCCTACCCGAGGAGAGCTCGGTGAACCAAGGCGACAGCCGATACCTGAAGTGATTTTTCTTTTGTCTCTTGTCTCTTCATGCGGCACTAAGTTACCAGGTTTCCGCCTCATCTGTAAAATTAGCCCTGTATTGTACAAGAGCAGTGTCAAAGATCTAGAAATGCTTAGTACTAACAAATAATTAGGTTTGTTAAAGTCTACTGTAGTTTTCTTCAAAATATTGTGTATATGCGGAAATTCATGTCAACTTTTATTTTCTGTACACAGCAATAAATTTTAGCATGTTTGATAATGAGATCATTATTTAGGAAAATAGAGGGTCGAGAATTTTCTAGAATTCGGATTTGTTTTCTGAAAAACTTTAATTTTAAATGCTTTCAGCTTTATATCATCTGTTTTTCTGTACCACAAATGCACTTTTTATTTCTTGGATGCTCTGCTGTGTGGTTACCAATACCGTCTTGGACTGAGCTGAGAAAATGCTCAGTAGACATTTGAATTCAGTTACATTGCACCTACGCCCTTGCATCCATTTTGAGGGGCCTTCCCTGACCTGGCCTTATGTATGGTATCGGCAACAAACATTCCAGTTGCTCACCAGTCCCACTTGTAACATAAAACTGGTTAACAGGACTGCCCCTGACTGTAGAATTAAGGAAGTGCAATAGTGAGCATTGTACAAACGGACCAGTCAGCTTAGCTTGAGCCCATGAGCTGGACTGAAATGGGTTATTCCTGAAGAAAAGGAACCGTCATGGTCTTTTTCTTTCAACCTCACACAAGTATGTGGGATGGAGTTTAACTCTCAGAAGTTAAGAAACTTACCATGATCACAAGGCTAGTAAGTGATAGAGGCACTATTTCAGCACAAGACCTTCCTCCATCTTCCCAAGACTCCATGCTGTATCCTAATGCAGGAAATAGACATCATTCCGTTATTAACTACTTTAATGGGAATTTAGACTAGTCCTATTTGATGGGAGTTTGGAACAGTTCTGTTAGATGTGGTTTTATACAAATTAGAAGCTGTTAAACACAGTAAAATTTCAGTGATATGGAGGCTAATTGCCATTGGGAATTTTTAGTTTTCCATTCTTTATTTTACAAAGCGAAAGATAACTTGGGAAAGAGTATTTTAGCAGCCTCAAAGGACAAGTGCTTTGACAGTCACTAGTAGTTCCAGCTTTGTTAAAGCTCCTTGGTATTATTCTTCCCCATGGTCCTAGTTAATCAAGATTTTACAGATTTTAATTTTACTGATAGTGGATACTAAATATATCAATTTATGTGGTTGTTTAAGTTCAGTTTCTTAGATATGTAAACTACTGTGGAAATTGCAACTTCAATATCTCTGGAGTACAACACTGAATAAGTTTCAACAATACTGAAAGAATTCAGTGCCATATAATGTGAAAGTATAAGGGAAAAATAAAAGTATTAACTCTTGAAAGAATATACTATCTATATTTAGATCCCTATTAAAAATTAGAGATGTCAAGAATCACGTTGTTTATGAGTTGAAGAATTGTCAAATCTGCTAGTGGACATTAACAGGTGAAATAATCATTATGAGATTAATTCTTTGGACTCGTCAGAATCAGTGCTCAAATGAGTACTGTGACATCATGCCAGGAATTCTCGCCACTATTATCCTGACAATGGGAGAACCCTCATCAAGTAGTTCTTTGATGATTTGGGGGGCAAGAGATTCAACCTCATTTTTTTTTCAGTGCAAGATGTGAAAGACTCTGCATTATGGCTTTTTGGATCTGGTTAGGAAACCTAACTTTTGCAGATCCTGAAAGGCCCATGCTTGAGTCTATGTACTGTATGCTAGAACTTACTATCAGTGCTTAATTTGGAGCAATTTGAGGACTTCTGTATTCTAAGAAGAAAAAAAAAAGTAAGGGTCTAGCCTTCTTGTTTCTCCTCCAAAATGGAATTCAGGAGCCATGGTCTAGATACTGCTTAAGTGCCCCAGTTATGCAGAGGAGACTCTCACATAACCAGTTCCTAGCCTTGTTAAAATGCAAAGTTAACCTATTTTTAATTTTTTGTTGTTTACTACTGAGATGTCTCAAAACTTTAAATATTACCTCATTTTTGTTAGTTATATGAAACTAGTATTTTAAGAATTACAAATTTTTCTGTTTCTTATATATTAAGATTATTATTACCTAATATGTTAATACCATTACTTCCAGTTCCTTTATTATCTGTTGAGCTAAACACTTTGACTACTAGCATTTTTATGCTAGAAGTGATTTTATAGGGCATCTAATCTAGATCCCTTATTTTGGTGAGAGAGAAAAAATTTCCAGTTTTGTGAATTACATTCACATTTACCAATAGCACTTTGGTAAAATAGTATATTGGGAATGGTTTTTGTTTTCTTCCTGCCTATTTGTATGTAGGCTGTCCCTACCATATCTTATTCTTTGCAATACTTCCACTTTAGGTCCTGTTTTCCTCTGATTTGGAAAAAGACAGTCTTGTAATTATAAATTACATTCTAGCTCTGAGGAGCTCAGCTGCGAAATGTTCTCTGCATTATGAGTAACTGGACTACTGCAAAATGACTACAGAAGTAATATTACATTACCGACCGTGTGAGAGTGATCCTACACAACTGCTAAAAAGTGCAGAGAAAGCAATTCAGGACTTTGCTACACGTCCACTATTGAGATTTATTCCTTGGTTTCCACATGATGGCTCCAAACTTCCACTCAAACCTAAAAGATCACCACCTGTGATTTCTGAAGAGGCAGCTGAAGATGTGAAACAATACTTGACCAATTTAGAACATGATGTTAAATCACAGAGTTATGATTGCACAGTAGCTCTATTGGAGTTCCAGCCTAATTTGAAAGAAAAGAAGCACTTAATCCACTCACATACACTGAATGAACATCCTGCTTTCAATGGAAATCTGGATAAACAGTCAGAAAAAGGAAAACGGCACAAGAAGAGGTCTTGGAGTGTTTCACTTCCCAGCAGAAGTTGTACTGAAAATATTTTTCCTTTGTCTAAAAAATTGCAAGATAGTTTAAAGGCACTAAATTTACACTCACTTCATAGAGCAAGATGGACAGTAGAACACACTATTTGTAACAACCAAACTCTGGAAGACATTTGGGTAAAACTCAATCAAATTATCAGGAACAATGAACTTCCGTCTTGTAATGCTACCATTCAGAGACACGTGGGCCAAATATGGGTGTTCTGTGATATAATGTACTGTGAATATGTGGGAAATATCCTTAAAGGACGATTAGCTCTTACTGGAAAAATAAATTTACTTGTCCATAAATATGGTGTTATTTTTAGTATGTAAGGAATTCCACTGATTGTCAAAAAGAATATTCTGAATGAACAGAATATACTGAAATAGTGACATGAATAAAATTTTTACTTTTTAAAAAATTTTAATGACTTAATTTTTTAAATTTGAACCATTGCTAGTGTAGTCTATTTATTCTTAACATTGTGAAAAATAATTGTGTAGTAATATGTGTTCAGGTTGTGTACCAGAAATAAATATCAGGTAAATTTATCAGTTTGACTTTTTATTTTATTTTATTGATTATGCCATTGCAGTTGTTCTATTCCCCCCTTCATTCCCCTCCACCCTGCACCTCCCCACCCCGACCATTCCCCCCCTTTAGTTTATGACGCGTCTCAAGTTCTTTATATTCTATATTTCCCATACTACTCTTGCCCCCCCCATCTATTTCCTACCTACCGTCTATGCTACTTATTTTCTGTACCTTCTCCCCCCTTCTCCTCCTCCCACTCCCCTGTTGCTAACCCTCCCTGAGATCTTCATTTCTATGTTTCCGCTCCTGATTTAGCTGTCCTCTTAGTTTGCTTTTGTTTTAGGTGTGGTTGTTAATAACTGTGAGTTTGCTGTCCTTTCACTGTTCATATTTTTTATCTTCTATTTCTTAGATAAGTCCCTTTAACATTTCATATAATAAGGGCTTGGTGATGATGAACTCCTTGAATTTGATCTTATCTGAGAAGCACTTTGTCTGCCCTTCCATTCTAAATGAAAATTTTGCTGGATAGAGTAATCTTGGTTGTAGGTCTTTGGATTTCATGACTTGGAATACCTCTTTCCAGTCCCTTCTTGCCCGTAAGGTCTCTTTTGAGAAATCTGACAGTCTGATGGGAAGTCCTTTGTAGGTGACTGTCCCCTTATCTCTTGCTGCTTCTAGGATTCTCTCCTTCTTTTTAATCTTGGCTAATGTAATTCTGATGTGCCTTGGTGTGCTCCTTCTTGGGTCCAACTTCTTTGGGACTCTCTGGGCTTCCTGGACTTCCTGGAAGTCTATTTCCTTTGCCAGATTGGGGAAATTCTCCTTTATTATTTGTTCAAATAAGTTTTCCACTGGTAGCTGTTCCTCTTCCCCTTCTGGTACCCCTATAATTTGGACGTTGGAGCATTTAAAGATGTCCTGGAGGTTCCTAAGTCCTCATTTTTTTGAATCTTGTTTCTTCATATTTTCCTGTTTGGCCATTTTTTTCTTCCTTCTGGTTCACTCCCTTGGTTTGAGTCCCAGTTTCCTTTCATCGCTATTGGTTTCCTGTGCAATTCCCTTCATTTCAATTAGTTTCGCCTTCATGTGTTTCTCTAATTTGTGACTAAAATCAACCAGTTCTGTGAGCATCCTGATCACCAGTGTTTTGAACTGTGCATCTGAAAGTTTGGCTATTTCTTGGTTGCCTAGAGTTATGGGCTCTGGGGCTTTGAGATCTTCTTGAGCCATTTTTGGTCTGTTCTCACCCGTTAAGTGTGTGGAGAGGAGCTTGAAGTGTTCACCAGCGCGGGGCTGCGCAGCGTGGGGATGTATGTGGGGGCGGGGTCAAAGCAGGGAAATGGCGGCCCCCCTCTGCTGCCTCTGGCTGCTGGGGCCTGCTCCCTCCCTGGTCTATCTGCACGCGAGTGCGCAACCACAGTCAACCCGACCGCCCTGCGCCCTCGCTGGGCCCACTGTTCGCTCACTGGGTTGCTCACTGGGTCCACCTGTTGCAACCCCACGCCTGGGATCCATGTGCCTGAGTCTGTCAGACCGAGTTTTCCTGTGCAACCCTGCTTCGCCAGCTGCTGGCTTCCCCCCTCTTACCAGTCAGGCTGAAGAATTAGTTGTTATCAGACTTTCGAAAAGTTCAATTTTCTGTGTTCTGGCTGTGTTTTCTGTTGCTAATATTTTGTTGTCTCTAAACTTGGTTGTGTGAGAAAGCACGGCATCTCCACCTGTGCCTCCATCTTGACGGAAGTCTCGGTTTGACATTTAAGTCAGGAACTTTCTGTGTTCTACTTTTAATAGCCATCTTTTAAGTGAATTGTGATAAATTATTTATGCTGAATTTAGAGGCAAAATATTCTATTCCTTTGTTCTATTTTTCAGTGGCTGAATTGGATATTCCTATGAATTACAGTAAATAATTTGGATTTGGATGAATCTTTAAAATCTATAGTATTTTTTCTTTACTTGTCTAAAGTGTAGTAATTTTTTAAAAATAAAACTATTGGATTGGCCAAAAAGTTCATCTTTTTCTGTAAGATGGTTACAGTAATGCTAGTCTTTAACTTAGTTTGGAACAATTTTGTTAGATTGTATTGTGACAGCTGTCATATCAGTAAGTTCTGTGCATTTTAAAAAATCTTACCAAAATCACAGAATTTTTGTGTAGCCATTTTAATATTGAAGATGGAAGAAAATACACAAAGTTTTTGGCACATTATGTTTATTGTTTCAAGAAAGGTAAAAACGCAACCAAAATGGAAAAAATGATTTGTGCAATATATGGAGAAGGTGCTGTGACTGATTGAAAGTGTCAAAAGTGGTTTGTGAAGTTTTGTGCTGGAGATTTCTCATTGGACAATGAACGCTCCATGGTTGAGTAGACCAGTTAAAGTTGACAGTGATGAAATCCAGACATTAATTGAGAACAGTCAACATTCTACCACACAGGATCTAGCTGACATACTCAAAATATCCAAATCTGTAACATTATTGGTGAAAAGTAAAGAATGTGTCTTTTATTTTACAGAAACTATATGGATTTTTTTTTCAATCCAATAAAACCCGTTCTAGTGGGGCTGCTATTCAAGTAACACACATGTAGTTCAAGTTTGGAAATCAGCACAAATCCAGCTGATGTTTCTAAAGATACATAAGGCAGTAATTAATGTATTATTTTTTTTAAAGGTGAAAAATGTATAATTTGACTGTGATCATATATCCTTAAGGCTATATAGCCTGTTTTGAAATGAAATATCAAATGTGATAAGAAATAAAGTTTTCTTTATTCTAATACAAGTAATTCAATCTTAATGACCATTAATACTAGTTATTAGTAGACTGGTTCTTGGAGTCATTGTTGGTTCCCTATAACCAAGGTGTTATAAGTTGGGTTTACACATCATCTCATAAAAATAACCAAAGTGATTATAGAATGAGTTTTATAAAAGCATGTATTTAATTTAAAAATTTAAATGCTTTCTATGAGCTAGGTACTACAATGTTGTAGGAGAGGAGACAAACAGGAACCCTGCCCTCACAGAGCTTACTTGGAGTTAAAAGTAGTAAAACCAAATCCCTGTAAAGTGTTAGTAAGACTGTACTCATTAGCAAGGCAGAGATATGTTTGCCTTGTGTCGTAGTGCCTGGCATGGTGGGGGCTCCATGATGCATGGTAAATGTGCCCTTTGGAGGGATTCTTCACAGGCTGATGTTGCTTAAAATCTGAGGAGTCTACTAATTTTTAACTGAAGAAAATCTTTTCCAATTGGGTTTAACTCTATCCAAACATTGTTTTAACTATTTTTAGTACCACTTTATTGTCACAAGACTGCTATTTAGAAAATAATTATCATGCGCATGAATGCTTCTGAAAGCTTTAAATGAAAAATCAGCTGGTGTAGAGGGAGTTTCCAAGGTAACTTAAGCAGTGACTTCTTTCGTTCATTAATCTTACTTTTCAACCTAAGACTGCTGGAGAAAGATGAAGTTACTCAGTATTGCCAGGAAGCTTGTGAATAATAGTTAATTAGGCAAAAAGTAAATGATGAATTTGATTTTTATTATTCAGGTCTTATTTACTGTAAGGTTGCTAATCAAGGGTTAAAAATAAGGTACTCTTAAGACTTAGACACAGTACTATTTTTCTATGATAGTTTTATTACTTTAAAATGATTGTACACAGAGCTGAAAATACAAGGTACAGTCAGGGACTATTTTTAATCCAAGAATTACGCATTAAAAAGAGCTTCCCTGTCTTCATACCTGGCAGATTTAAATTTTTCTAATTTACTCTTGCTTTCTAACCCTTTGAGAAACAATGAAAAGGTAATTCAGAACTGGGAAACTGAAGGTTAAGTTTTATTGTAGATATTGCCATGATCTTAAAAGGGGAGATTCATTTCTCTTCTACCTAGGTAGTACTTAAGGAAATAATCAAGGAATTTGGAATGCATGGCTACTTTGAGTATTTAGAACCTTAGGACTCATGATTCTATCTCAAGCTAATAGTAGGGCTTAGCAGTATTTCTGCATTCCACTGTTAACATAGACTTGGAAATAGAGGAAACAAAGACGTGTACAGGAGGTGTATCTGTCAGGGCATTTGGTAAAATGCCATCAGTGATAACTCCAGGGAAGTGGCAGTAGCACCGTAATTCTGTTTTTCCCTGATGATCTATCTACCTTCAAATAAATGTTAAGTCATATTAAAAGAAAAAAGATGAGGTGGGCATCTTATGAACTTAACTTCATTTGCCACCTTATCAAATAACTTAGAGACCACTTTTTGAAAAATTCCAAGATGAACTACTGCATAATGATTCAATTTGACTTAATTTGCTCAAAATGCTCAATATTAATTCAAAATTCACAAACTTGTATACCCTCAGGGACTAGATAGGTAAGACTGTAGAATGTGGTAAAGGGGGCTCTGAACCTAAAGAAAATTTTACTTAATTTCTGTTTTTAATGTAGTGGTAAAGCAAAATTTATATGCAAGTTAGACTAGGCCCAGCTTATCCCATTGTAACCTCAGGCCTATCTTTAATTTAATAAAGACTTTAAAAAGCTTTTTATATAATCTTTAGATGAAACTTGAATTTCATAAGTAAATGAAACGTCTTTTGTGAGTTCCACTGAAAATATTTCTACACGTGGCATTATGTGAATATTTGACACTCAAGTAAAAATCATTGTTTTTTGCCTCTAATTTTTTGGCCTAAAACCTACTTTAACATTCTAGGCTGGATACAGAATTACAGTTAGCAACCAGTGCTTTATTACAGTTCCTAATCCTTGCTTTGGTTGGCATTAGCTCTTTTCCAACTAAAATGTATAATTTTTGAG